CTTGGGCCCCTGACACTTGTCTCTTAGTTTACTCATGGCACCCCTGCTTTTCATTGGGGGGATGTTGCATCTCCTGTCGAGTCTTTTGCTTTTGTAGGGAGTGATTTTCGTGTGCAGATTTAGGACTAGTCCCTCTAGGATTTGACAAGTGTATATTATCATGTATCTTTCTCGTCTGCATTCCAGAGAATACAAATCAAGGGACTTCAATCATTCCCAGTAATTTAGGTGCTTTATCGTATTCATACATGCCATGAACGTTCTCTGTATATCCTCAAGGTCTGCAGTTTCGCCTGCCTTGAAAGGAGCCGTTAGTGTACAGTAATATTCCAACCTAGAGAGAACAAGCAGGCACTGGACAGGCACCTAAAGCCAGTACCTGACCAATCGGGCTGTGGTTCGCACATCAGGTTGTGTGCGGCCAACAGTAACAGCCTGGTTGATCAGGCCCTGACCCACCATGAGACCTGGTCACAGACCGGGCCGCAAGGGCGTTGACCTCCGGATCCCTCTCCAGGTATGCTCCAGGTATTGGCATCTCTAGTACTGAAGGTTCTCATTATCCATCCTATCATTTTCCACTCAGATGTGGTAGATACATTGTTTTGATCTTTGAAAGTGAAATTTTCTGACATTATCACTCCTAGGTCCTTCACATTAGTTTTTCGCTCTATTGTGTGGTTGGAATATATTTTATACTCCAATACAGTTTTAATTTTCTCAAGTTATTCATAGCGGAGTAATTGAAATTTGTCTTCATTGACCATCACATTGTTTTCTGCTACCCTTTGAAAGATTTAGTTGATGTCCGCTTGGAGATTAGCAGTGTCTTCGATGGATGACACTGCCATGCAAATTCGAGTGTCATCCGCAGAGGAAGACACGGAGCTGTGGCTTACATCTCTATGTCATATATGAGGATGAGGGACAGGCTGGGAGCAAGTACTGTACCTTATGGAACAGTTTTTCACTGTAGCCGCCTCTGACTTTACTTTGTTTACTATTACTCTTTGTGTTCTATTTATTAGGAAGTTATAAATCCATCTACCCATTTTCCTGTTATTCCTTTATCAGGCATTTTGTGTGCTATTACACCATGATCGCACTTGTCAAAGGTTTCCGCAACGTCTGCGTACTATATCTGCATTTTGTTTGGCCTCTAAAGCATTCAAGACCATGTAGTTTGTATAGGCAGGAGCGACATGCTCTAAATCCATGCTGCTCTGGGTTGTGCAACTGATGAATATCCAAGTGGGTGGAGATCTTACTTCTTAGAACCCTTTCAAAGATTTTTATGACATAGGACGTTAGTGCTATCGGTCTGTAATTCTTTGCTATTGCTTTACTGCAACCTTTGTGGAGTGGGGCTATGTCTGTTTTTTTTTTTTTTTTTTTTTGATAGTGGGATGACCCCCTGTGTCCATGCTGCCTCCCCACAGAATACACGTGAAAGGGGCTTCATGCAGTTCTTGATGAACACGGAGTTCCACGAGTCTGAGCCTGGGGTAAAGTGCATGGGTATGTTATTTATTGCTTTTTCAAAGTCTTGTGGTGTTCGGATAAAATTAGAAATTTTTGAATTAACCAAATTTTGAGTGCCCTACCAACCGAACTAACAAAACCTTGCATTGTATGATGAATTGTGTTGCAATTGCTGAGGACCTCCTCTCATTGCTGGAGCCTTAAGTGTCACCACAAATCTTGAAAAATAACGTTAGCTTTCACAATAGACTCCAACGGACAATAAAAAATATATCTCCCACTGATAAATTAAAAATTGTGAATAAACCAGAAGCTGGAAGTACTGAGCTGTGTGTGTGGTTTAATGGGTTTAGCGCTTAGTTATTATTATAGTAATAGCATTGTATCATCACAATGAATGCCGAAGACTGGAGACAGCCTATAATAATAATAATAATAATAATAATAATAATAATAATAATAATAATAATAATAATAATAATAATGATATAATATAATAATAATAATAATAATAATAATAATAATAATAATAATAATAATAATAATCTTTATTTCTACAAGTCCATGTACATATGACATCAGTAACATTCTTCTATATAGAAATAACAAAAAAGGCACAATATCGTGGCTGGAACAATACACAAATAACCCGCACATAGAAGAGAGGAACTTACGACGACGTTTCGGTCCGACTTGGACCATTTACAAAGTCACAGTAACGAAAAGGAGAGGAGGGAGTATATACAGCCAGGAGGTGGTAGTAGTAGTAGTAGTGGAGGGAAGGATGTAGTAGTGGGGAGGTAGTAAGAGTAGAAGGGACCAGTCAAATACTAAGAAAGAGGAGCACTTCAAGGTAGCTGCTGCCCACAGAGGGTAAGAGCAAGAACACCGAGGGGTGAAAATAAATAAATAAATAAATAAAGAAGGAACAAATACACAGGGCAGCAGAAAGACAACCCAAAGGAGAAAAAGGAAAGAGGAAAACGGAAGAGGGAGAAGAAGAAAAATGAGGAATCAGGTTAGGTCACTAGTGTTCTGAAGTTTTTAGCATTTTACAATGTAGTGGAAGAGGAAGGCATCCACAGAGACGAAGCCACGACTAATAATCATACAAGGAAAGTTGTGTATTAGGGAGGATTCAACCAGACGGCGACTTCTATATAGAAGGTCGCTTGTTATTTACCTGGGGTTTACCTGGAGAGAGTTCTGGGGGTCTACACCCCCACGGTCCAGTCTGTGACCAGGCCTCATGGTGGATCAGAGCCTGATCAACCAGGCTGTTACTGCTGGCTGCACACAATCCAACGTACGAGCCACAGCCTGCCTGGTCAGGTACCAACTTTAGGTGCCTGTCCAGTGCCTGCTTGAAGACAACCAGGGGTCTATTGGTAATCCCCCTTATGTATGCTGGAAGGCAGTTGAACAGTCTTGGGCCCCTGTATTTATATGGATTATTTGGATCTTACCGTGCTAGTGACACCCCTGCTTTTCATTGAGGGGATGTTGCATCGTCTGCTGAGTCTTTTGCTTTCGGAGTGATTTTCGTGTGCAAGTTTGGTACTAGTCCCTCTAGGATTTTCCAGGTGTATATAATCATGTATCTCTCCCGCCTGCATTCCAGAGACTACAGGTTCAGGAACTTCAAGCGCTCCCAGTAATTGAGGCGTTTTATCTCCATTATGCATGCCGTGAAGGTTCTCTGTACATTTTCTAGGTCAGCAATTTCACCTGCCTTGAAAGGTGCTGTTAGTGTGCAGCAATATTCCAGCCTAGATAGAACAAGCGACCTGAAGAGTGTCATCATGGGCTTGGCATTCCTAGTTTTGTAGGTTCTCATTATCCATCCTGTCATTTTTCTAGCAGATGCGATTGATACAATGTTATGGTCCTTGAAGGCGAGATCCTCCGACATGATCACTCCCAGGTCTTTGACGTTAGTTTTTCCCTCTATTGTGTGGCGGGAATTTGTTTTATATTCTGATGAAGTTTTAATTTCCTCGTGTTTACCATATCTGAGTAATTGAAATTTCTCATCGTTGAACTTCATATTGTTTTCTGCAGCCCACTGAAAGATTTGGTTGATGTCCGCCTTTGTAGCCAAAGTATAAACGTAAGTAACCATTCTACAGAATTCATTACCTTTGTAACTTGTGAGCTCATTACCTTTGTACCTAGTTCAGCTATCAAAACTTTGGGGGCCCAGTCCCTGGACCCATTACGTACCTCTGTAATCTGTAAATACCTTTGTAACTTGTCATGATTGTGACCAGACTTACCTGCAGTTCATTACCTTTGTAAATTGTGAGTTCATTACCTTTGTAAATTGTGAGTTCATTACCTTTGTAAATTGTGAGTTCATTACCTCTGTAACTTGCTCAGCTATCAAAACTTTGGAGTCCAGTCCCTGGACCAATTATGTACCTCTGTAATCTTTTGACTACCGCCCACAGGATGGGTATGGGGTGCATAATAAACATATTAAACTAAAAAACTGTCCGCCTGGAGCCTTGCAGTGTCTGCAATGGAAGACACTGTCATGCAGATTCGGGTGTCATCTGCAAAGGAAGACACGGTGCTGTGGCTTATATCCTTGTTTATGTCAGATATAAGGATGAGGAACAAGATGGGAGCGAGTACTGTGCCTTGCGGAACAGAGCTTTTCACCGTAGCCGCCTCAGACTTGACTCTGTTGACTACTACTATTTGTGTTCTATTTGTGAGGAAATTATTGATTCATCTACCAACTTTTTCTGTTATTCCTTTAACACGCCTTTTGTGCGCTATTACGCCATGGTCACACTTGTCGAAGGCTTTTGCAAAGTCTGTGTATATTACATCTGCATTTTATTTGTCTTCTAGTGCATCTAGGACCTTGTCGTAGTGGTCCAGTAGTTGGGACAGACAGTAGTTATGCAGAGCATTTCGAGCAAATTAGGGTAATTTTGTCCCAGGATGCGACCCACACCAGTTGACTAACACCCAGGTACCTATTTTACTGATAGGTGGACAGGGACAGCAGGTGTCTTAAGGAAACACGTCCTAATGTTTACAACTGTTCAGGGAAACGACCCCCTGGACCAGTGTGTCAGCTGAGTGTGCCAGCGATCGAGCTATCAGTGTACTCTACAGTGGAAGAGTATACTGACAGTATGTAAATAAGATAAACAATGAGAGTTATGACATTTTAGTGCGAAATCTTTTCGTTCAGGGACTTTATGGGTGGGGGTATACCAACTGTAAGTTGCCAGTGAGGGAGAGAAGTTCTACTACTCCCGGCACCGCCTTCTTTCCTTTGCCCTTCTGTCACTACTTAATGGCAAAAGTCGGACCGAAACATCGTCATACGTTTCATTCTTCTATGTGTGGGCTATCTGTATAGTTTACCTCGCTGCTTAGAGTTTATTCTACTCTGTATTTGTTTTTCTCTCTCACTAACATGAAGACTGTTACTGCCTCTCCATGTGTTTCTTCTTCAGAAATACTGGTAGGGGATTTTTTTGGTTTAATAAAATTCCATATACATGATCTATTTATTAATATATATATATGTATATATATATATATATACGGTGCATATATATATACAAGTATATGATATATTTTTGGTATGAGTTATACCTGCCTTTAATGATTCATATAGTTTTTAAAATTCAGAATATAAATGTTTTATCTTCATTTTAACACTGAAACAGATCAGACATTTTCCCTCCAGTTTGATGCAACATTTATCACAAATGAACAAGTGGAAGATCCATCAAATTTCACTGATCCTGTTCCAGTTATTATCACTTTGGTAAAACAATTCTCTATGAAAATATACTGTATATTAAATTTAAATGTTCACACCATATTTTGTAACAAGAACAACTGACAACCAACAAGTCAAAAAATCCATTATTAACATGTGTGTGTACTTTAGAAAGAGACCTATGATCCGGGAAAAAAAAAATAATATTGCATATTGTTTGATTATAATTCCCAATTAAGAAATAATTTTTGTATGGTGTATGAGTTAGTGCTCCATAGTAAATAATTGCTCGCCTTAAACATATGAATCAAAGTATTTATAAATACTAAATACAAAAAAATTCTGTACAAAAATTTGTCAAACCACAGGAATTAATTATACTGTCAGTCATAATATACAAATAAGCAGAGCAGAATATGTTTTTTCAATATATTTTACACCAAAAATTTCCTGAGAAATTAAACCATTGAACTTTGGAGCACAAGAACATACAAAAATTAGATTTTTTTAATCTAAAAAACTAATAAATTCCCATTTTTTCAACAATGAATAATGAAAATTTCTTAATATTATTATTTGCTGTTACTGTGTATGAAATAAAGATCATTTTTTAAAATTTACATTTCAGGTACTGTGATCAATGTATTAATATATATAAAACTTGCGTTTATTGTTTAATAAAGTATCTTTATTCAAATAAAAAGGTATATAAACATTATTATATGCTGTATCACCATTGTAATAGTATTTAACAGTATTTGGCATCCAACGATTCATTAAAGGAAGACGAGTATAGTAACAACTTGTTTCATAGACTGGAAAACCCTTCACATTGCTGAGGGAAATGCTAATGCAATGGTAAGTACACCACTTGCTGTTTATTAGGGGGAAAAGGGTGTCTAGTATACATATTCTCCTCAGCTTGTAATTTACCTCTTGGGTATATTGCTGTTAGTGCATTTTCCAACTACTGTATTTTAACATGCAAATGCCTAAGGGACTACTGCTATAAATTTAACAAGGGCTCTCGAGGGAGTACGAGAGAATGTTCAACGTTCTTTAGTGTTTTGTAAACATGCAGTATTTAGAGGTAAATTGTGTGTTGCAAAGCACAATACAGGACTGAGTTATGATTGTTTGTATTGTTGTTAGATTTTGGTACCCTGCTGCTCTTGTTGGTACTTGGTACTGTGTTCCTTCTTTTGGTTCTTGGCACTGTGCTGTTCTTGATGGTTCTTGGTACTGTGTTCCTCCTTTTGGTTCTTGGCACTGTGCTCCTCTTGTTGGTTCTTGGTACTGTGATCCTCTTGTTGGTTCTTGGTATCGAGGTGCTGTTGCTGGGTTCTTAGTACTGTGTTCCTCTCGTTGGTTCTCGACAATGTCCTGCTCCTCTTGCTATTTGGTCCTGTATTGGTTTTATTTATAACTATCGCTGCTGCTTAATAAAGTCCCTTTCAACAATTATTTATCTTGCTTTTAAAATTGATTTCTGCATATGGTACTGTATAATTTTAGCCTCCGAAAGCTTCAAGTCAGTTTTCATTTATGAGATACACACCTTCATTCTTTTTAAATGTTTCTTGTGCCATTCACAATAATACAATGCCCTGAAATACAATCGTCACTTCAGTTTCTGCATAATCAGAATGTAAATATACGTGCCAATTTTTATCATGTTCAGACACTATTTTTGTATATGCAGTCCAGTATAGCGATTTCTGTAGACTGATTATTCCTCTTGTACTGAATCCTTGTAAACTCTGACAACTCGGTCACAGAGAGGACACGGGGGTCGATAGTTTTCAACCAGTGCTCCTGCTAGCTCATCCTCAGGACAAGTCTCGCAAGGATGATAAGACTTCATTGACCTGAAAAGAGAGAAGGATTTAGGTTAAATTATTCATACAGGATCCATAAAAGACAGGAGCTGAAAGCAATTGGTGAAATTGAAAGAAATGCATCTGGTGGCTTATATTGCAAAGTTTAATGATAGGATAATATTTATCTCAAAGATTATTATTATTATTATAATTATTAATTATTATTATTATTATTATTATTATTATTATTATTATTAATTATTGCATCCTACACATAGACAAGAAATTTCAGTTGAATGTCGAAACAGTCTCTTTCCATTGCTGTTCCTTATTTACATGGTTGGATATCATATTTATGGGAAAGCTCTAAACTCATAGGAGCCATGCAGAGGATGCCAATTGCAAGGCAACAGATTACCTTAATAATTTTTAGCTCTTTACGACAAAAAATAAGTTTCAATGTAATTATATATATATATATATATATTATATATATATATATATATATATATATATATATATATATATATATATATATATATATATATATATATATATATATACATATATATATATATATATATATATATAAGTATAACCCCTGAGAATTTAGCACTCCCCCATGAATGTAATAATAATCTTAAAATGTGTACTTTTTTCTACATGAGTTTTTTGCTTATGATTAAACGTAAAAAAAAAAATTATTTTTCATTCAAATTTCCTTGTTACATTGATGATCTCAAATTATGGAGAATACCCATAAGCCTCACTAATCCGTAAGAAATTTGTACTCAAGAGGAAGTGGTAATAATTACCTGAAAGCGTCCATCTGTGTCTGAGACACCTGGATGGGATGTTCGTATACGATCCAGGTGACAGACTCATAGCATGGTGGAGTGGTGAGGGAGCCAGCATATGTCCAGTAGGAGCCATTTTCTGTTATATAGTAAGTTATTTGAGTTTGTACACTAAGTTATTTGAGTCTGTGCACCCATATGGCTCACTCAGCAGTGCCGAGTGAGCCACATGGATTTGTCACTTTCCACAAACACAGCAGCACATCAAGCACGATATGCAGAATAACCACTGTGAAAACATATTAATATTCCAAGGGCTTTCGTGATTTATTACATTATCAAGGAACTGATAATGTGAGAAGTCAAAAAAGCGCTTGGAATTTCACTATTTTTTCACGGTAGTTGTTCTGTATATTGTGATATCACCTGTTTGCTCTGATCTTATTGCAATAAGTACGATATACATTTAACAAGCAAATTAATCATTAAAATATGCATAACTGTTTGCCATTTTTTTTAATATATTGGTCATGTTCCACCAAGGTAAGGTGACCAAAAACAGCTCACCATAATTTACTCCGCAGCTTTTTGTTTACAGAGGTGAGGTGAGTAGAGGTGCATGGTCACCACAGTCTGATGACTCACTGAGCACCCACATCCCCACTCATCTCTCCGAGTGCAGCCACTGTACTGCCCTCTGCCAGAGCTCAGGTTCTGGTTCAGCTAATCGGATTCTCTGAATTCCTTGATGCTCTCTTGTCAAAGGGGTGAACCAGTAAGCCGGCAGAAGGCCTCGGTAGGATGACAAAGCTCCAGTGGCGGGTCATGTGACTAAGACCCGCGTCAGGAAACACTTGTCTTGCTTCCTGACGAATCCTATCTAACATAAGCTCTTACCACACAGCACGCTTAAGCTCATCTCCTCCCTCTCCCGTCTTAAAAAAGAAAAACTCTTGTCTCCATTGATCTAACACGCTTATGACTCCTACCTCTTAAAACCTTCACGACTCACGAAATCGTAATGACACAATTGCAAACAAACCATACCGTCGGTCTGGAGTTTTATGACTGATCGCGGGTTCTATTCCCGCCCGTGGTTGGTTTGTTTACCTTATTCACATCCTTTTTCCAAGTCATCCTTGGATATCTTCCATTTACCCCATGTTCCTCCAGCCTGTCTGAATAAATAAACATGTCTACCAAGACGCAGATGAACCACAGAGATGTCAGGAAACAGTCTCACGGTGGTCAGGAAGTGGAATGACCTCTACGAAGAAGTGGAGGCAGGTTCCGTATATAATTTGAAGAGCAGGTACGATAGGGCCCACGAGGCTCGGAAGGAGCGAATCTGGCAAGCTGAAAGGCGGGGCCAGGAGCTAAGACTCGACCACTGCAATCACATGTAACTACATATAGGTGAGTACATATATTGAATGAATGATGGTGAATGCTGTAGGCTTCTTATGATCACTCTACCTTGGTGGGAGACAGAGACAGCGGACGTGGTACAATGTAAATCACTTACTGGGGATGAACGCAGCTGGACTGATTGGTTCAGTGACAGTAATAGCCTGACCCTTGTGTTGCACGAAGGGTAGTAGCTTGCACACCTTGTTCAGTTCCTCGTGTTCACTGCCAACCTGTGTGTTCAACACCAATTAGTATAACATCAACATGAATATTAACGAAATATAGGCTAAGAGAGAAATAACATTGGATATCTTAATAATCTGCACAATCAACGTCTTGTACACTTGTAATAATAATAATAATAATAATAATAATAATAATAATAATAATAATAATAATAATAATAATAATAATATATATAATAATAATAATAATAATAATAATAATAATAATAATAATAATAATAATAATAATAATAATAATAATAATAATAATAATAATAATAATAATAATAATAATAATAATAATAATAATATCTTTATTTACTACAAGTACATGTACATGGTATACAGACCATAGCTGACATCAATGACATACTACTATATAGAAAGTCCCTTGTTATGCTCAGTATTTCGGGCAAATTAGGTCCAGTGTCCCAGGATGCGACCCACACCAATCGACTAACACCCAGGTACCCATTTTACTGATGGGGAACATAGACAACAGGTGGAAAGAAACACGTCCCAATGTTTATATTCTGACTTGTAACTATAAGAACCTCTCCTTCGTAGCAGCTTGTGAAACAAACTTAATTTTCAGATGTTTTAGTCATATACTTTTCGGTACTGTATACCATTAATATTATATATTAGTATATTACATGATTACCATTCCAGGAAGGAAGGGATGGGGGGAGGGGGTTGCTTTGATACTGGCGAAGGGATCCTGATCCAAATAATCCATATAAATACAATAACCCTTCCTTCACTTGGATCAAACCAGAATACTTTCCGTTTCCCTGAAGTTCTGTGATACCTCAGAGTCTTTCACTTTTTTACTAATAAGCTTCTAAGCATAGAAAGAATCTATTCATTTAAAATGTTATTGTTTACCCCTAAAAATATTATTTTTAATCTTGATATGTTAAAATGTAAAGTAAAAGGACACAAGTGCAACTAATGTGACATTTTATTGTGGCAACGTTTCGGCTTGACAAAGCTCCTGGAGAGCGAAACGTCGCCACAATAAAATGTCACATTAGTTGCACTTGTGTCCTTTTACTTTACATATCGTCGGTAATTCTACCAACATTATTACAGTATGTTAAAATGAAAATCCATTTATTTTGCCTCTCACTGTTCGTAAAAATATTAAAAAATAAAATAAATACTTTTTAAATTTTGGATTATCAGTAAATGGCTTTCCAGAGAGGTGCCTTGATGCTGATGAAGGGCTCTTGATCTGCTCAGAAGAAGAGGGTAGTTTCAATTCTTCGAATCACCAGCCCCTCATTACATCAAGACACCTGGAAGGGTCTTTGCTGACAAAACACCGTGTGAAACTTATTCCATTTGATATTTTTAATATTTTCCTACAAAGAATAACATTCTTCAACTAAAAGATGCATGTATATTAAGCCTCACCTCTAAAAACATTCCCAGGACAGCAAGACCGCCGTCAGAGGATGCTGCTTCAGCAAAGCTTGAGAATTTGCTCTTATTCCAGTGTACCAAGTGTAGCTGCAAGAGAGAGCCTTGTTAGGTTAATATATCTAACATAATTTTTGTTAATACGGGATGCAGGGAAGAATTTTTTTCTAAAACTATGCTTCTTGTGAAGACTGATGACCTTTGTAAGACTTTTTGAAGACTGGTTTTTTTGATATGAGACTTTTACTTTTTATGATGGACTTTTTGTAAGACTGATGCTTGTGATAAGCAGCCAAAGGAAGTCAGGGTGATAGACGCAGCTAGACTTAATGTGGTGAATGGGACAGAGTCAGAAGAATGAGACGCAGACTAAGTCATTTTAGGTTGGATAGTCAGGAGGTTTGTGATGGTCAGAGAGAGAACTGTAGGTGGGTGAGTAGGTAGAGTTTTAGGGGTTGTGGAAGATACTCCGGGGAGAACATAAGACATGTTTAATGTGCTCAAGGAAGCGGTGGTGTGGAATATCATCTTGCATCGAAAGGGAATTACTGTGATGTGTCAGAGAAGGCAATGCTCGCTGTGATTTGTGCTGAGCATTGCTGTGATATCACCCTAAACGGTACGTAGGACTGTAAATAGTAAAACACTAAGGACATGTACAGTGGTGTCTTGTGCAGTGAGGTGTCATGCTTGGTGTAGAGAAGTACCATGAAATAACAATGAACATCGCATGTATTGTGAGGTATATAAGTGAGTTAAATCAATACTAAAGAGGAAGTATATATATGCCATACGATAGAATTTGGTAAGGACAGAGAAAAACGGAGGTAGAAACAATGAAGCACTGCTTCCTCCCTCCCGTATCCCACACAGGAAGTGACACAGTGGAAATACGGCGAACAGACATGAGCCCCTAATCTTTTGATCACCGCCACCATGGTTATGGCGTGGTTGGAAGGCAGAGTGATAAGATAAGATTTTGTTCGAAATTTTAACCCAGGAGAGTTAGCCACCCAGGATAACCCACGAAAGGCAGTGCGTTACCAAGGAACTGGCGTGCGGGTAAAGACGGCAATACAGAAATAGCAACGTTTCACTCAAAATCGGCTTTTTCAAGACTCTATAAAGCTCACCATTAACTAAAACATCGTCTAAGTAAAACTTGTTCTGCTGGAAATAACAAATATCCAATGGAAATTAGTCACGTTGACTCTTTTGGGTTATCCTAGGTAATTTACACTATGTATGATAATTATATTTGTGTACCTGTGCCTAAATAAACTTATTTACAATTATGGGAATGAGGAACGTAATTAGATAACAAACACTGGCCAGAGTGTACTGAAAAACTATTGCTTCGTGAAATTTAGCGACAAGATTCCTGTTAACTATTGTTCAATGTATTATCATAACTGTACACAGAGTGAAACTATGTAATGTGGGATCGTCAGTGATGTGTTGGGCTTTGACTGACTGATTCGTCAGGAACTATGTCCTGACACAAATCTTAATCCTAAAATGAGCCGTCTTGTTGGGCTTGTGTGGAGACTTGTATAGTCAGCTCAGGATAACGTATACGTTGACCCAGGTCGTGGTAAGGAGGGGAAGGAAGGACAGGGGAAGGAAGTAACTGACTAAGTTTGGCTGAGAGAGGAGAAGGAATAATAAAAAAATGGCCCATCCATTTTTTTTATTTTTACGACTCACGAATCACACATTTATTAAAAATGTGTGATTTCCTCATTTTACATCACCATGACATGTATGTAAGTTACACATCAATAGTGTCATGTGCATCGGTTGGGAAGGGCGCATAATTAGGAGGGTGAAGGTAGTTGCCTTTTTTCTTGAAGCAGGCCTGTTAGAAGGAAAAATAAGCCATACTGACGTCATGCTCTAAGTTGCCTGTCCCCTTCTCGTCTCCTGGAAAAGTTCCAGCTATCTCCCATGAGTTATAGCGCTATAAATTTTTTTGTTACCCAGGACTATAGTAAAGTTTTGAAATAGTGGCGTATTAAGTGCTACGAAGGACATTCCATACGACCATTGATGAACCTCGAAATAACTCTCGTTTGTGATTACACTATTGAAATTACTGACACCATTATATCTCATGTGTTTACTTTCGTCAGCAATCTGTGATGGTTACACTATATACTAGATCAACCTTCCCACGTAATAATATAGGATAAACAAGGAAAGGTTTGAGAATGGGTTTGAGAAAGTCTTTCCTAAACCCTGACTAAGAGGATTGTAACACTGTTTTGTTCGTGAATACGAGACTTCGTGAATACAGCCAAGAAAGATGGGGATAAAATGAGACTGAAACTGGAATTCACATTGAAATTCTGAGAGTGATGAATGATAAAATATGAAGAATGAGACACTGTGCAACATCTGTATTGATAAAGCCACTGGATGGCGAAACGTCTACAAGTAAAGATACCCAGATGTTGCACAAGTTTCTTATTCTTCAATCAACCTGTCGGTTTTCTAAACCCTTTATTCAGAGATGTAAAAGTTGCATTACTTGTGGAGTCACGACTCACCTCAGCAGCGTAGCACTTGCCATTGACAGTGTGTTCTGAACCTTTGTCGTTGGTCTTGCCCCAGTGGCAGTGGAACTGTTCTAGCACGTACTCGTCAGTGCCCAGTGGACCGCCCTTCAGGCCTGAAAGGGGATAATGCATCACAATACTGAAACGAAGGTCTCATCATATCTTGGAAAATCACAGATTGTGTTGGAGTGACGAAGTAAAGACACGAGTTCCTCTTTTATCTCTTAGTGGTTCTGGATATTATATTTCCCAAGGCCCGGTTTCGGGCCACTCCTCTGAGGTTGGAAGGAAAATATAACTGAATAAAGAACTATTAAGAGGCACACAGGGAAGTAAATCAGAAATTTGTAAGATTTACATAACAAGCTTTATATTGTGGTTACATTTCGCTTATCTAAAGCTTTAAGTAATCAAATCAACGTCGTCACACTAATATCTTGGTCTGGACCCGTGTTTTGTCATCAACATTGTCTGCAGCACACATTTGTATCCTATGTAAGGTGACTGGAGACCCAATCTAAGATATTATTATTATTATTATTATTATTATTATTATTATTATTATTATTTATTATTATTATTATTATTATTATTATTATTATTATTATTATTATTATTATTATTATTATATGAGACTTAGTGTGTTCTGCGATTAGAAAACGAAGGATCGAGCCTTCACTATTCATTGACCTGAATGAGACACACGGGTTAAACACTTCACATAAAGTAATAAACATATTTCAAAAATTGATCTATGAGGTATCAAAATGTCATTTAATTTAATCTAAGAATTGTAGGCGAGTTTTGAACTGTTCCAGCCAAGGCAGTATAGGAAGGTTAGCCTGGGCCGCACTGTGACCACATCTGAAGGTTTTCACAGGGTAATCTCACGCCATTATGGTCGTGTTGTTGTCAATCTCAAGTCCCCTCAAAGCCATAATTATGACTCACGAAATCGTAATAAGACTGGTTTAAACCCTACCACTTTCGTGATTTGTTTGCGATCGTGTTATTAAAATTTCGTGAAACACCATCCAGGTTAACTTACTTGAACTGCCTCCGGAGACTTGTGCCTTCCAGGCGTGTCCCGTGTTAGACAACTCTGAGACCTTGATGCCGCTGTACACAGCCTGGATCTTGGAAAGACTGGAATCTTTCTGGCAAGCCTCGCACTTGATATCAATAGGGGACTGCCGCCTTCCACCTGCGATGGGAAACAGGTTTGGCCAAGTGGCGGGTCCTGAAAAACGAACAGAATTATAATCAGACTTAAAATTTATAGTCACATCATCAATGCACTATATTTCTAGTAAAATATTTATATAATATTATTTCGAGTCACAAAAATACTCATGTAATTTTACGAAAATATCTTCATTGATTATTAGAAAAATTTAGCAAAAAGTTGTATTTTTTCTCTATTCTGCCTAATAAGCAGATGAAAAACAAAGTCTTGTGATGCAATGTATGATTCATGTATTTAAAACTTCTGAATAAAAAAGGCATGGATTTAAAATAAAACAAATTTTGTTTAATGTGCTTGAAATGTACATAGGTGGAACCACTGCGCCATCTGCAGTGTACAGTGTACAGTACGGTATGTAGACACATGTTGCACATGTGTCTAATTCATCAACAGTAATGTATATACACCGAGAAGCGCATGTCTCTCAGTCGATATACAACGATGACTATATCTTTGTGTAAAAACACTGAGAATTTAATCCTTCGATTAAATATTGGTGTTTTCTGAGTGTGGTGGAGCCTTAAGGAACAAACTGCCAGTATTCCCAGTTATAAAGAGTTGAATAGGTCAAGGATCAACAAGTGACCTGGCCAACGCAAGTTCTCCTGGCCTCCAGCACAATGTTGCTCTGTAACTAGTCAACCTATGACCACTTAACTACTTACACTAAAAGGTCACAAGTAGTTCGAGGTCATATGACACATTCTCGATATATTTACGAAACTTTTTTGACCACGGAGCGTGTTTCAAAGTTATGAAAAAGTGAAATAACCAAGTTAACGGAAAATAATTACTTTTCATACATTTACTTTTCACGTCTCATGTATATATATATATATATATATATATATATATATATATATATATATATATATATATATATATATATATATATATATATATATATATATATATATATATATATATATATATATATATATATATATGCAAAACAACCACTCTGAAAGAATAGAGAAATTCCAAGCGCTTTCGTGACTACTCACATTATCAAGGAATGTGAGTAGTCACGAAAGCGCTTGGAATTTCTCTATTCTTTCAGAGTGGTTGTTTTGCATATTTTGAAATCACCTGTTTACTGTGATCTTATTGCATATTATATATATATATATATATATTATATATATTATATATATATATATATATATATATAATATATATATATATATATATATATATATATATATATATTTATTCGCCCTTAAACATGAAAAATGTTTTAAAAATAACTCTTGTCGTTATCCCACACCCCAAATGCTCTTTATCACGTCTCTCTCTCTCTCTCTCTCTCTCTCTCTCTCTCTCTCTCTCTCTCTCTCTCTCTCTCTCTCTCTCTCTCTCTCTCTCTTTATCTATCTATCTATCTATCTTTCACTCTCTCTGCGTTTCTCCTATATGTACGAACTTCATCACTCTCATCTCTTTAGTCTAAACGCCAGTGCTCTCTTCTGCTGCCTCACCGGCCTATTGGTGCACGCCCAGCGCATTGACGTCATACCACAGACAGTCAATACCCACCACTGCGCCCGATAAAAAATTCTAGCTCTTTTGGGCAGCGCTGCACTGCGTCCCGTCCTCGGAAGAGCGTTCGGATTCCAACGTATAGAGTTCGGTTATTTATGAACGGTCTTCGGTTACTGTTACTGCCTTTTACAATGATCTTTGTTGATGCTATTCTCTCTTACAATGATCGTCACTACTCCCTCTTACAATGATCTTCACTATTCTCTCTTACAATGATCGTCACTACTCCCTCTTACAATGATCTTCACTATTCTCTCTTACAATGATCGTCACTACTCCTTCATACAATGATCGTCACTACTCCCTCTTACAATGATCTTCACTATTCTCTCTTACAATGATCGTCACTACTCCCTCTTACAATGATCGTCACTACTCCCTCTTACAATGATCTTCACTATTCTCTCTTACAATGATTGTCACTATCTCTTACAGATCTCATTCTCTTTACAATGATCGTCACTACTCCCTCTACATGATCTCACTACTCTCATACAATGATCGTCACTACTCCCTCTTACAATGATCTTCACTATTCTCTCTTACAATGATCGTCACTACTCCCTCTTACAATGATCGTCACTATTCCCTCTTACAATGATCGTCACTATTCCCTCTTACAATGATCGTCACTACTCCCTCTTACAATGATCGCCACTATTCCCTCTTACAATGATCGTCACTACTCCCTCTTACAATGATCGTCACTATTCCCTCTTACAATGATCCTCACTACTCCCTCTTAAAATGATCGTCACTACTCCCTCTTACAATGATCGTCACTATTCCTCTACATGATCTCACTATTCCTCTAAAATGATCCGTCACTATTCCCTTTTAAACAATGATCGTCACTATTCCCTCTTACAATGATCGTCAATTCCTCTACAATGATCCTCACTACTCCCTCTTAAAATGATCGTCACTATTCCCTCTTACAATGATCGTCACTATTCCCTCTTACAATGATCGTCACTATTCCCTCTTACAATGATCGTCACTATTCCCTCTTACAATGATCGTCACTATTCCCTCCTACAATGATCCTCACTATTCCCTCTTACAATGATCCTCACTACTCCCTCTAACAATGAGATCTACTCACTTTTTTGGTTACTTATTTAGCACGGTTAGATCAGAGGAAACAGAACATAAGTGCATCCACTCAGGACACCTCTGTTAAAGGCAAAAGGACACCTTTTATTTTCAATTAAGGTGACTTAAGCAAATGCCTTTGCGGCCATTTTCTCTCTTATGTGATCGGCAATTACTGCCCTCTTATTACTGAATCAGAATAGATTAGGATAGCTTAGATTAGTAAGGAAAGGTTACCAAAAAGATTAGGTAAGGAAAGGTTACCAAAAGATTAGGTCAGGTAAGGTTATATTTAATGACATTAGGGTCAATTTGATTCAGTTTTATTGACGTCAGTTAGCCTTAAGTAACGCAGTTTAATTACCAATAATTGAAGACACTGTTAGACAAAATGGAGATTAGGTTATCTTATGTATGGAAGTAATCAATGTCTTGGTCACATACGTTGGGAATCAGACGTTCTATATTGCTCTCATCATCTCGTAAAAATAACTGTGATTTAGAGTATTAAGAATTGTACAGAGAACAATAGTGTTTGTACAGATATCAACAGTATTAATAACATGCAGATATTGTATTTCTTTGTGATATTGTATTTCCTAAATTTGCTTGTAACAGATAAGTGAACTATAGATATGTAGATATAAATCCATATGTATTCCTGTTAACCCTTTGGGGCCTAGTTCCTAGGCCTTTTGTGTATCCATATGCTCTCGCGCTACCGTCCACAGGATGGATATGGGGTGCACAATAAACTAGCCACTTCGGTGGCAAAATCTAATCTTTGTTAGGTGCTAAACCCGTGTGGATTATACACTGTAATCTTAATGTTTGTAACAGTTTGTAAGATTTACCTCTGTCTTGATAATGATACATAAAATGTCAGAAATTTTGCCATAGAAACATCAGACAGGTTTCCGTTTCACACTGCCATGGTGGCAGTTTATTCTCAATGGTCTGCTTTAATACCAGTGAATCAATAAGGTGTAGTGTTTACAAGAGCGTAGAAAACAATACTGACGCAGGGGAGGTGACAAACACCATACGCAGCTTCAAGAGAATGTATGAGAAATTTATAGTGAGAGGATTTGAAGGAGAGGGTTTGTGGACTCGTTGTAAACTCAGCCAGTAGACGATTTTGTGGACTCTTGTAAACTCGACAAATAGACATGTTTGCGAACTCTGGTTGTAATCTCAGAAAGTGGACTCTAGTTATGGACTCACCAATTGAACGAGTTTGCCAGCAACAAGGGGCCTGGCAGGTCCTTATTTCTGAGGTGTTGTTGGCCAGGCAACAATTTGCTTGTCACTTCTCTCACAGTAACAGATATTTTTTTATTCTCCACTCTTTCTAAATCACCCAAAACGCCGCCGAGGGAGTAGAAAAAGACCTTAGGCGATCATTTTTAAAAATTTATAGATAAAAAAAGACGAGGTCAATTGGTACGGAAGAAAATATATAAGGTAAAAAAAAAAAAAAAAAAAAAAAGGCTCATTAGAGTGATAAACTCTAAGGGTTTAAGATACCATATTTCAGTCACATTTCTTTTAGAAGAAATTTTAAGCACACGCTAATAATCTTTTTTTAAAGTTGTATTTAAAAGCTAATTTTATAGTGTAGTGAGAGAGGAAATTTGACAGAGAACTAAAAATAAGGAAAAATGGTGAACTATCAGACTAGTATTCCGTGTAGTTTTTTGTCAGCTGTGTGATTTCCTCTCACTAATCAGTGTTCACTGTACTTTATAGGATAGTATTGCTGACACGGGTGATAAGGCGTGTTTAACACCTACAAATGGTGAGTTGGACAATAAAAATACAATAAATGAACACTGCAGCAGGCCACACCAGGAAACTCCCTCTCAAATTCAAACTTAAGTGAATTATTTGCCGAAAGTATTTTCAAGGCTACCAGGGTTTAATAACCTTACTGTTAATAACCCTAACTATTAAAACATTGCCTCATCTTGTAGCACATACAACAGAAGATATGATTGCTGTATTTTTCGGCCAACAACTTTGTATTCACGATTTGTTTGCACGGGATCGAGATTCAGCTCCTCGTACCATCTATTAGTTTAATGGGCATCACTGATTTCTTGCCTCTTGTCCCTTACTATATCTAGTACTAAAGCTGTGTATTGAGTTTTCCGTCGACACCATTGTCCTGCTATCTGATTATACTACTCTCTTGTCCTGTTGTTTAATGGTGGCTTATATTTCAATGCCATTATTATTTTCCTTGCTCCGGACATTACAGTATCTGTTATTTATTCCCTGAAATTTCCTATGTCCAAGTTTCTTAGTACTTCAAATTTTTAACAGTTTCTGCCAATCAGTACTGCTTCTTTTTTTAT